CTATTTTCACTCTCTCTCATGCCTAGTGGTCTCCCTGAGATGCACAATAAAAATGGTGGGACAAAATGTGAATTAGTTCCAATGATTAGTGATATCTCTATTCTTAATGCTAATTGTGAAAAACAATTAAGATATGGTGGAGTTCAGAATGGAGCCCTTAACCTATCATTAATAATAAAAGATATAGCAATAGCCAAATTCCTATGTTTTCTCTCTTCTTTTATCCTAGATACAATGTACATCATCCAAAACAATCAGGAACTACAAAAACAACAATTTAACTACAATTAAGTCAGGAAAATATCCAAATAAATAAACTTTTAATTATGATACAATACTTATTACAGTAAAAATTGGCATTTTTCCCTCTTCAAAAGCAGAAGCACCATTCTTACATATAACATACGGTCTGAATGATATCCTACATGAAATATAGCATAATACAGTGTGCAAACAGCATCTTAGTACAGAATGTAAATCTTGTTATAGTTTTTCTACATTTAAATCTGCCTGAATGGAAACAATGTCATGCTGAATTAAAAACTTAGATTTTAAAAACCAAATCAATCATAATATGAAATACTGCTGAATAGATACATGAATAATTAAAAATGATAAATAGCCAAAAATAGAGGGCATTGAAATACAAATGTGACTAGTGCTTAGATTCCTTCCCACCCCCAAAATAAAATAATGTAATGCTTCTATTGAAAAGTAAGGTGAACTTTAAATATTTAAGAAGCATTCTTCAAATGCTGATGTAGTTCTAATAATGTGAAAAGAAATCAAGCTACAAACCAGACACTTTTTACTCTCTTATTTTCAACACTTCAATTTTTATGAGCGGACTGTGAAAAGAGATGATGTCCAGTGCAGTGAATACACGTCTGCTTCAACATCATGTGACTTCTGCAAAGGCCGTGATGTGGTTCTACAAGTTTAAAACAAACATGAAAACAAAAGCATATGGTTAGACGCAGATCATCCCCATCACAAAGACTTTTCCTTGTCTTTAAAGCAGAAACAACTCTTATGTTTGGAGAATTTTGCAGTATAATGGAAATAACAATGTTTCTAATTGCAATAATGTCTATCCATGCCAAAAGCACTTTTGCTGCAACACTGTATGCAAAAGTACAAAGTAGCTCACTCTTATAGTTCTACCATATTTTAGATTTTAATGTACTTTTTATTAAATAACAATGTGAATAATTGAGTTTGTTGTAATTTTATTACTGTCTTATTTATAATTAAAAGCTAAATTCCTAGGAATGAAAACTGCAGTGTCTGACAGATGATAATATTTGGCTTCAGCAGTAAAAAGATTTTAATGTTGCATTTCTTTTTAAGACTAATTGCTGCCTGTGAGCCAGATGGCACAGAATGAAGTAGTGAAATGCAAGGAGATGACATTCTCTAGTTGACAGAACACGTGAAAAATTTCTTGTTCAGAGTCACTGCAATAACATCTTCATTTGCCATGCTTTTATGTTGGTTCCTTCAACAAGAGGATTTTAAATTGTGTGTCTGTATGCATCAGGTATTACTTCATTAGGGATTTTTTTTTTTTTACTTAAAATATTATATAGGAAAAAATCACAGGGTCCAAAGCAATTAATGTGTCTATTTTCTTGCTCCAAACTGTGATGCTCCTCTTGGAAATAGGCACCTTTGTTAGTGGATAATTTCATTCATGCAAGCACTCCCATTCACTCAAACCGCATACACCCTGACAGGATTGGTTCCTACAAAGTGGTGTAACTAGGGGCATAACAGGGGAGCCAGGCCAGGTGCCAACTTGAAGGGAGGGGGAAGGAAGCGAAGAAAAGTGACTGCCTCTGGCAGCCATGTGTTTGCACTTGCAAAATGAAAGTTAGTGCTTCTGCTTTTGTGCTGGGTGCTATACTCCTTGTACTGCTGTTTCTGCAGGCTGGATACTGCAAAGTATGGATGCAGGTGTCATCAACTGCCACTGTCTTCCACAATCAATTTTCTGAGTGATACTTTTTTTTAATTTTATTTTTAAACCACCACCATGGAATGTGTAAAAGTTCTACATGTATACAGGGCTCTGGGCTAGACCTGTAAGAATGAACAAAAGGAAACAATGTGCCTGGGTCTGCAGTTGCATCATTTCTCTCAGCATCCATCATGTCTCTCTTCCCCCAGCTGTAGAGCCAGTAGCAATGTGGAGATGTGATAGTGACAGCAAAATGGGTCAAAGGCTGTAGAAGAAACTGGGACCTGAACATGCCCTCCCCCAACCCCAGCTCTCCTTTTGGCATCGATCCCATTATGCCACCAATGCTCAGCACTGTGTTCTCAGTTGCTTTCAGGCTGTGGGCTGAGTTTTGAGATCCATGCAATGGAAGCTGTAGATCATGAGAGAGTAATTACTGTTGTAGCCCCTGCAGTGATTACTAGGAAATCTAGTCTGGGCTGTGGAAAGTGCTGCTAAAGGTGCATATTCCTCAGCTCCTCCCTGTACTGCCTAACCATTCTCTTCTGTCAGACTGGGGATTTTTTATGAGAAGAAACATGATTGTTACACAGGAAAGTGAAGACACGGAATTTCCCATTATTCCTCCCTGTGTCTCCACCTCTCTGGAGGTGGACACCGCCATTCCAGGGACTTCAGGCCTGGACTCACAATATGTTAACACTGTTGCAAATTATGTCAATTTTGTGAACCAATATAAAAGTTACTTTATTGTCCAAGGTGGACAGGGGACTGGCTCTCAGAGGGAGATTTGGCAGAAGGCACTATTGTAGGGTCTTGTTAGGTGACAGGGTTGCTAGCAATAGCTTGCTTGCTTTGAACCTGCAGCTACTACAGGTGAGTAGATATATTTATCCTGGTGTAATTTACAGCAGCTTAGTTTCATTCCTCTTTTTCCCTGAAGTTACTATTTACTGCATTGTCATAAGTTCCACAAGCGGAGGGCCATATGTTATATGCTTACTCCTTGTTTAAATTGTTACAAGTAGCTTACACTGATGCCTCAAGCAAACTCTGAGTACTTTTCTTGTATCATAGCAAAGCAAAGGGTCATGATGATTTAATTCAAGAGGAAACAAGTTTTGTATTCTGCACTTTAAATGAAAAAAATATGGTCTTAATGTTTTACAAACAAGAGCTCTCGTTGCCTTGGATTTCAGTGAACCATCAGTTTTCATTTTACTCCAAAACACAGTGAAAGCGCTTTAAACAAACAACAATTGATTAAAACATGGCTTGCAAATTACTTTTCTAATGCTTCTTATAATCACTGCAGAAACTTTAAATGTGAAGAGGGTCTCGCAGTTTAACAATATTAACATTTGGCAGAGATTCTAGGGTTTTATTTGGCAAAAGACAGACCAAATTAGACTCCTTAATTAGCAAACAAAATACTTGAATTTCAAGGAGTTATTTCAAGAAGTTTCAAGTTCACTTAGTGGGACAAGATCTGCTCTCAGTGGGGGCATCTACATGAGACGCTTACAGAAGAGTTGCCTAATCAGCTCCACAGTAAAATGTCACCATCTACATGTATGGAGGTATTAGGCTGGTGTAAATTAACTCTGCCATAGGTTAGTACAGTCTGACATAAGTACTATCCTATGGCAGAGTTATTTACCTTGCCACAATGCACATGTAGATGGTGACCGGGGCTGGCTGAAGCATGAGGGTGCTAGTGTGGAGCCTGTCTGCTGGCTAGCCCTGCGCTGCAGCATCCTTGTGCCCCAGCCAGTACACTGAGCAAGGGTAGAGCAGCTCCAGGCTGACAGGCTGACCCCCCCGGGGCTGCTGCCAGCCAGAAATTCATAGAGCTGGATATTTTTATGCCCTAGGTGCAGCACTGCATTTGTCCTTGTTGAACTGAATCCTGTTGTATTCTGCCCACTTTTCCAACCTGTCCAAGTCTGCCTGTAATCATTCCCTACCCTCCAGTGTGTTCATTTCACCCCACAATTTAGTATCATCCACAAACTTGGACAGAATACATTTCAAGCCCACATCCAAGTTGTGGAAGAAGACATTGAAGAGTACAGGTACAAGGACCGAGTCCTGCAGGACCCCATTGCCCACATCCTTTCAGGTCAATACCGACCCATCTACCACCACTCTCTGGGTGCACCCTCAAGCCAATTTGCCACCCACTGGACTGTGCAATCATCTAAGTCACAGCCTCTTATTTATTTATGAGAATGAAATGAGATACTGTATTGAAGGCCTTCCTAAAATCCAAGTAAATGACATCCACCTCTACTGCTGCGTCTAAGCATTTTGTGGCCTGGTCATAAAAAGAAACCAGATTAGTCAGGTATGATCTACCTGGTACAAATCATGCTGCATTATTATTCCTGCTGGACTCCCACAAATATGATTCTTAATAATTTTTTCAAATAACTTTTCCAAGGGTAGAGGTGAGACTAACTGGCCTATAATTACTCAGATCCTCCTTCCTCCTATTCTTGAAAATAGGGACTACACTGGCCCTTTTCCAGTCCTTCAGGACCTGACCCAAGTGCCACAAGAGCTCAAACAACTGTTCCAGTGATTCTGCTATGAAACCAGGCAATTCCTTCAGCACCCTCGGATGAAGCTCATCCAGGCCTGCTGACTTACACACATCCAATCCATGCAAGTGACTCTGCACCAAGTCAGAGTCAATAGCTGATGGGCTGGTGCACCTCTGATGCCCATCTAAGAACCCATTAGTAGATTTATCTGTGGTCCTGGGTGCATTTGTAAATGCTGCAACCAGAAGCAATAAACTCTGACAAACTGTGCTGGATTCTATTCAGGTGCATTCATTGCATACGTAGATGTGCCAATTACACTGTGCAACTCTACTGAATCCAGAACAGCAGCAGCCATGTACAATTTTGGTCTACTGTATTTATCTGTGACCTCCATTTAGATAGGAAAACACCACTGTCTAATACCACTAGGCAGCTATGGTTTACCTATTACTATGACAACCATGAGGAAGAATATAAATGAAAGGAACTGGAGGAAAAACTGGAGTATTTTTTGGCTTATTTATCTCAAGTAATTAAAAAAAGACATTAAGTGAGTCAGGAATCTGAATCGCTTTTGAAAAATGGGATTTAAGTGCTTTTGAAAATGTTACCCTTTATGTATTTTGTAGGGCCGTGCAAAATTTTGCCAGCTCTTTCGTTTCAACGCTGCTTCAACTAGTTTTGAGCTCAAAACAGCAAAATCAAAACAAAAAGAAGGGCTTCAAAACAGCCTTGAAATGAAATGAGGGCAGTCAAAATGTTTTGAACATTTTTTAAACATTTCAATTTTCAAAGCTGAAGCTGGGCTTGCCTTCAGGGAAACAGAAAGTAAGGAGAGGGAGGGGGAAGAGTGGGGAAGGACTGCTCTGACATTGACTGTGACTGTTTGGCTGCCTGAGATGCTGCTGGTGCTACTGTGCTGTTTACTAAGTTACTACTTGTTGTCATTTAAAGTGGTGGACCAGTCTGAGGCTACAGGGGAGGAGGAGACTTCACTGGGGTACCCGATCATGTCATGTAGAAGCCCCGGCACCAGTGAAGTTGCGCCTTAACACATACACACAGTCACCCATGTCACGAGTTTTGCTCATCTGCAGCTTGAGGTGCCTACACCTATCTCCTTGAAACTTGGCAGGCATAATGCCCTCAGAAGGGGCTACCATTCCTGCTGTTTTTATCCAAATCTGACAAAACATGACAAAGTTATAGGCAGTTTTGTTCTTCGCCATTATAGCCTATGGGCAAAACATCAAAACAGCATCAAAACTGTGAAACGGTTTCAATGAAACGAAATGGAACAGTGCTTTCAAAATGAAAACTCAAAATGAAACACCGTCCCAGTGAAACGGAAGTTGAAACTAAATGGTGCCATTTCGTACAGGCCTAGTATTTTGATAGTATTAGGTTTGTTACACAGCAATAACAAAAAGGAATGACATTTTAAAAAACTGAAATGAGGCTGTAATACCATATAAACTGGGACACTCAGGCGCAAGTATAGGACTTGAAAGTGCTGGAAATGCATTGCTTTGATACTAGTTAGATTTTAGGTTTGAAGGTACTACTTCAAGAGATGGAGGGCCCCTTTCTAAAGTTGCCCAGTGCCTGGAGGATGTAGGAGTCATGGGTCACCCAAACAATGTGTATTCCACGTATTCCCAGGAAACGTAAAACTTGGACCCAGCTGTACTAGTCCTTTGGCAGCATGGTTATACTGCACAACCTTTGCTCCTCAAGGGATGTGTGCACCGATGCATGGAAAGTATAATGTATAATAGTATAATGCTCTTTCATGCAGCATTCATTTACGAGTGGATATCTATTGCCAAGGAAATGAGAACATGACTTTCTGCTTCTACTTCCAAAACTCTAGAGCATGTAGACAATTCTGTGGCATCCCAAGACAAAGGACATAATACCAGAGAGGAATACCCAAGTCCTCTGAACAAATCCTCAGAGAGACAGTCTCAACTAGCAATTATGGAGCAGTGGATCTGTAACCTAATTACATGTTGCCTATTCATTTCCAATGGATTCTACCAGATGACATTTTAACAGATCAAACCTAATTACTTGATATTGATAGGAATAATGGGTATTGATGAACATGGCTGTGGTGGTATTCATGTCTTTTGTAGATGTCATTTTTTTCCAGGAAAAGTGCAAATAATACTTGCTGAGAATCCTTTAGAAAAAAACCCAGTGTTTTCCTTTAGAACATTTGATCTTTTCAGGTATTTTACCATGCTCTTTTAGTTCAGTTTCATGTTATTATGACAGTGTATTAAAATTTAACGGCAAAAGCAAAGACACACAAATGCAGGGGACAAGCCAAAAACATGCACAAAACCCCAGTGTCCTTGAACTCCATGAGAAAAAGTTATATACCTCAGTGCTCATAAAGAAATCAATCAAAAAGAAAAAGGTATATGTTATACTTTGGTTGCTTTACACATTGATACATTGTTTTTATAGTATTCATTCTAAGTTGACAGTGTAAAATTATTAGAAGCAGCAGCAGAAGATTTTCAACTCAGCATGCTTAGTAATTATTCCTTCAGGTCAATAACCATTAAAGCAAAATGTGGAAGGCTGAACCTTGAGTGCAGATTTCTGGGGAAAAAATACCATATTCTTGTTCTGTGTAAAGCATTTAACTGTTGAATTTAATACAATCAACTACATAATGATTAAGTACGAGATATTTTGCATGGTCTTACTTATATTTTGTACTTTCCTTTACACAGATGACATATTTTCAAGCATTAAATATTCATTTCTGTTCTATAAAAAATTCATTACTACATCTGTCAATATTTGGAAATAGCTATCTATGCAACAATATTCTTCCTTTTTAGGATACTTTAACTTAAACTGCCAGGGTAGGTAGCAAAAAAAAAACTGGGAAGAGAAAATGTTGCAATTTAGGCAAATACAACAATTCTATTGTAGTACCAGAGAATTTGCTTCTTGGTCTGAGAATGTAATGAACACAAGAATTGTTTATGTTCTTAGAGAGAACAGAATAAGTAATCAGTCCTTCAGTGAAATGCTAATTTCCTGAAAAGTTCAAACCCTGCACAGAAGGTTACCATGCCTTATAGATCTACCTTTGCTTAAAGCCACACTCAAACACATAAGTGCGCTTTTGCGCACATACGTTTATTGCCTTATGCGAAGACGTTCAAAACAATTCATCCCTGTTATCCAGGAGAAGAACCTAATGAGGTGTTCTTTGAAGGAGTTGTGTTGTAAAGGGTCCTCCTGATTATTATCAATGCCTTGGTTCTGTAAAACCTACAGTGGGTATATTTATGGAAGTCACATTAAGTATATTTAACATTTCTTTTGTTCAGCTACTATTTTATAGTACTTACCAAAATTCACTGTTTGCTCAAAATTCAGTATAGTGCAAATAAAAATACCTCCATACAATTGCCTGGAAACAAATACTAACGTGGAGAAAAGTATGGGAGAAGTTGGGAACATACATTCAGACACTTGGTTTCAATAAAAGTTGGGCCTAAACTGCTTTCTGAACCTTTTTTTCCTTTTTCAGTGCTTTCCATTTATAATAAAGCATCGTTACAAATACGTATTTTTTAACATGCTGAGTTGCCAAGATATAACCACATAACCACAAAAACCTTTCAAAATTACTCATAAGATAATGTTAACATATTCAGTCTGGTAAGACTGTACACAAGTCCACATCTGCATCTTCCTGTGCATACTTGTGTGCCCATGTGCACCGCAACACTGTAGTATCTACAAAAAATAATAGACTAAATATAGACATTGGATTTATGACACACTACAACCTGCCTCACATCTGACTCCCCAGGTACCTCTCCACTATTTAACTGCTACATTCATTCCCCTTCTCTCCCCCCCACCCCACCTGTCTCTCACCTACTAACTCCTCAGTTTACATCTTCACTGACTGCCTGTCTCACGCACAGCCCAGCCCAGCCTCTGACCTCTTTACTATTCATTCCATCCAGGAAGAGCACACACCAACTGCAGAGACTTCTGCAGCCTGATGAAGGGTCTTTAAACCCAAAAGCTTGCAAAAAAGATCTTTTTCCAACTATTTCAGTTGGTCTAATAAAAGATATCCGATTCACCCAAAGAACCTTGTCTACTTTGAAGATACACATTCATCAGCTAAATGTTCATTTAAATGAGACTGTGACCTCTTTGGCCAGGTATAGACATTGAACTTTTACCAGTATAAAGGATTGGAAGCTGGTCTATACCTGTAACAGAACAGCAGTTCAGCACACAGAATAGTTTAAAAATGGCAGAACCCAGTCTAAGCTTTGCACCCCCCCCCCCGCTGCCAAGGGTGAATGTCTGTTCTGTTCACTACTACCGATCTAAACTACACCACTTGCAAAAAACTGTGCAACTTGGATAAATTCCGCCTTGAACTTTTTGAATGTCTGCACCTAGCCTTGATGACAAAATATCAGAACTGACTTAGATGCACTTGGTTAGAGACAGCTTGTTAGAGAATTCAGAAAAATACATCTGCTTGCTTTTCCAAGGGTATAAACTACAAACCTAGGGTCTCATGCTTTATTCAGGTACCATTTCCATTGATTTCAAGTGATTGGCATGGACTGTCAATTGGTTAAAAAAAAAAACCGCAATATATTTTCTTATGATTAAAGAGAAAGTTACCATGATAGCCATTGTATTAAAGTGAACACCAATAAAATCATATTGTTGGTGTCCTGCAGGAAATAAAGTTGCTCACCATCTTCAAGTGAGGGCACACACTAAAGAGATCTTAACACACAGTGACAAATAAAGTCATTATGAAAATTTAAACATTTGCATTAGTAATTCAAAATTTCCTTTAGGTAAAAAAGTGCCTAAAATATTTCCTTTACTTGGTTATGTTATCTGTTTCAATTCCTATTATATCAAAAAAGTGTTCCAACACAACTTCTTCTAACATTTATATAATATATCATCATCTTCGGAAACATTATCATTTTTATTGCAGCAAAATAAAATTAATTTTAAACATAGTTCAATTGTTTTCCATGCAAAGCATTTTGACATACCCAAGGATGTGCTAGTAATGTTAACCTAAGAATTTGTTTTGGCAAGAGTCCATGGCTTTCTTATGCACCCCATAACTGAAGAAGCTGCTACTGCCATTAGCAGTGGCAGCTTCGGTGGCAGGGGGAAGTGAGTGGGCTGCTCCACCCAGCTCTGTGGGGCCCCCCAAAGCGCAGGACTCTGCCAATGACTGAGAGATTTCATATAGCCATTTTAGGTAATCTATTCCAATGTTTAAATACCCACAACAGTTAGCAGATTCTGCCTAGTATCTAACCTGTATCTCCCATGTTACAATTTAAGCCTGTTATTTCTTGTCCTGTTCCCTGTGGATGCAGAGAACAATTGATTGCCATGCTCTTTATCACAACCCCTTCTGTATTAGAAGACTGTTAGCAAATTCCCCCTTTTATCCTTTCTCTAGACAAAATAATCCCAATCTTCCACCTTTCCTCATGTCAGATTTTTTTAGACCTTGAATAATGTGTTGCTTTACAACTATTTAGTTGGTCTAGTAAAAGATATCAGATTCATCCAAAGAACCTTGTCTGCATATTTCTCTACTCTGACCTTTTTCCAATTTGTCCATATCTTTCTTTAAGTGTTATGCTTGAAACATTGTACACTATGTGAAGTTTCTGTGCAATCACTATGTGTGGCTGCAAGAAAAGCATATTAAAAGGTAAAGACCATCTAACACTTGGATGACATCGGGAATGACATTAAGGGTCTGCTTCCAGATGATACTTAAAACTACTAATCTGTAGGTATTTCCCGATACATAACCTTAGCATTCTTATTATTGCACTTTCCAGTACAGGGTATTAGAGACATTTATCATTCCAGAAAAATTAGCAAAACTACCACTGTACTTTGATTTTAAAAATGAAATTCTTTGGGTGGATGTTACCTTTTCTAAAGGACTTTCTACTCGTGGAATGCTGATCATTGGCATCTGAGCCAGACTGTCCATATGTGAATGTTCATGTTCCGTTTGTCTTCCTCTAAAGTTATTTACCACACATACAACCTAAAAGAAGGTTAGAAGGCAGTTAGAATAACTATTAAACATTTTAATTATTGAAGTCTGATCATGCAATCTTAACTCAGGCCAAACTCCTGCTATTGTTAGAGCTTACAGTAGAAGCACAGACTTATTAATGAAATATTAAAAAAATCCCAACTGTCCTATTATAAATAAAACTAAATACTAATTTCAAATTATTCTGAGATCACTGAGCTTCTACCCCAATAGGAAGTTGAGAAATTGACCGATTGTAATTAGAAGCAATAGCATAATTCTAGTAAAAACAGCATTATAAATCTGAGTTTGTAAACTAGATTGGCTTACGTTGTTTTTTGTTGTAGTCAAACTCATGTTTTGACAAAAAACATTAAATTGATATTACAAAGATATAATTTTAAATAATGTAATATTTCATACATCAACATGGTGCAAGAACTTTCTGAATGAAAATCTGTTGCTGTTGTGAAATAATAAGTTACCATTTCCAGCAACTTAAAGCTCAAAATAAAGGAGTGTTGAAAAGAGCTTTTAATCAAATAAAATTAATAAAAAGTACAGTAATACCCAAGTTAGCCTTAATGGAGCTAACCAAATATAATTTAAGTGCTTATCACCTGGTGCTACATGACCTAAAATACAAGCACAAACAGCTCTTCATCTGGCAGTAGTTATAAAATAGCAATGCATTTTACTTTATTAATCTCAGAGACTATTAATATTAATTTTATTTATGTTACCGTGTTCCTTCACTCTGATGGCTTTTTCAATACTGTATTGTTGAATATGGTACAGAAATCTAAGTAGCATGCACATAATGGAAAATTATTCTAGTAAAAAGATGGATTAGTGTGAAATAATTCTCAGATCTATTAAATAATATTGCCTGCAGTGGACTAAATATAAATTCCATACCTTAATTTCTGAAAAGTATTTATAATCCTCTCTTTTCAACAGATAAAGTAGCCTACTGCACAATGTCTTTGTTTTACATAACTTTTATTGTACAGTGCAATTTCTTTCTTTAAATTGTTCCAGTGGCAAGGTTCCTACAAAACTGATGTTTAAGTATAATGGTGATATTCATAAAGCATGCCCAAATTGTTTCTTCTTCTCCAGAAACAGCTAGTGAATAATCAAATATTTAATACCCAAAATGTTGAGTTTTCCACTTAGAAACCATTTGATTGAGCAGGGGGGTTTGCTACTGTATGTTAAATGTGATGCCCTACCATTTTTATGAAAGGAACTCATACTCTATAGTGTCAGCATTCTAAAGTGAAGGTAAAAGGATGGGCTTTTGGTTTCCATCTGTGCTGGAGGCAGATCTTCAGGGGTACACACAGCACAGAAATGTAGAAAAAGCAGCTTGCTAAGAATCCCATGAGTATGGAACATTTCCACTGTGACAGCTTAAGCAACTGATCTGGGCTCCTTCTGGTGTAGGTAATCTCCTGGGGCAGGTGGAATGTGTAGTCAGATACTCTGTGTGTCCTAGGCAAATAGGAGGGCTCTCAGATATGGGGGGAAAGGCATTACTTCTGGTGGAAAGAGGGCATAACATCATTTCTATCTTCTCTCTCCGGGATCTAAGAGAAGTATAGTTCCAGACCAAAGAACCAGGACCCAAAGTATTTTGTAGAGTAAAAATTATATGAACTTTGAGGAGTGAATATAATACTATTGCATGGTGGTAGATGGATAGACCTGTATAACAAATGAGACTTAGTTCAACTTCTGCACCCTTTCCATAAATCAGCCCTCTACTGAGATTCTGAATGAAGTGGTTATGAATGAGGTTTTGTGATGTGGATATGTGTCCGTATAAACCAAAACCACACATCTGGGTGCAAAAATACAGATCTAAGAGCGAGGGAATCTTGCATACAAGGCTGCAGATAAACTAATAGACAGCTATATATTAAATAAATTCATTTAATTCTTGAATAGAACTTAAAACTAAGTGAAGGACTTTTATTCCAGAAAACCACACCATTTTCAACAAAATGAGCCAAATATAGCAGGGGTATTTTTAAGTAAGAAATCACTACTGTGCAATGAAGAGGTTTGCTTCTTTGGCCCTGAGATAAATAATAATAAACTAAATTCTAATATTCTGTTATGAAAACCAATATTGGATGCCATTCTGAAAGATACTCTAGCTCAACCAGTTATGGAATGCTACAAGAATTACCAGATGAAATTCTATGACCTGCATTGTCCAGGAAATCAGATGAGATGATGATATTGGCCTTAGTATTTATGAAAAATAAATCTATGAACACTGGCACTTTAACTAACAAGCTTGGACACAACACAAAGTCTGATATTTTAGGAACCTGTAAAGAAATCTACAGAATCAATTCACCAATTAGGAGATGGAAATGTATTCATTACATTCTTTATTGGGTGTTAGGTGAGAAATCCTAGCCTCAGGATTGTTTTCCCTATTGACTTTCAGTATGCTAAAAATTTCCCCCTTTGCACCAGATCCTAAAGACGACCTAGGTGCCTAAAACAGAACCTAGGCAGACACTGCAGTCCAAGAAACCCCTGCTCATCAATCTCCTAACTCTGGAATTGCTGAGGCACCTACCTTTTTTGACCAAAAAGTTCCCTAGGTACCTGCAGTTCTGCCTTCTGTACATGTCTCTAGACTGAGTTATAAGGTGTCTAACACTTAACTAAGCCTCACTGAGATCCAGAAACTAGGTAGGGCAGTATTCAAAACCCTGCCCTGAGAGGCCCAATCTAGTAGATGAGTTCAAAACTCATTGACAACATTGATTTCAGCACAAAAAAGCAGAAGTCATTTACGTTGGATTTCACATTGTCCCATATTGTCACTTTATTTATAGAAGTCTATTGTCAGACATTGGTTCCAGGATCTAGGGCTTGAGTAGCTAGTTCCTTGTGAGTTCCCACCCTGATTTAGGTGGCCAAGCTCTAGAAAAGGGTTGGAATTTAGATGTACCCTTGTTCTCAGCATTTCTTATCGGTTAATCCTAGACGGATGCCTGCTTAGCATGTAGGTTTTTTTGTAATTTTTTTGAGGCTTTAACTCTACCCCTGCACTGTGTTGGAGGCCTACGTACTTAACTCTGGGTTTTGGATTCTACTCTGAGGGCCAAGCACGAAACATTTAGTCATTACAGCACCTTACATATACGCTCCTAAGGCTCTTATTGCATGTAGCCTTCCAATTCTCCTTATCCACATCCAAAACACACACTTACCAAAAAAACTGCTATAGATATTCCAATTAGAAATCCTGCTATCACATCTGACCAGTGATTTCGATACTCTGCTACTCTGTTGATTCCAGTAAGAAAGGCCAGACATATTAAGCCCAAACACAGAACAGGTTTTGCAAGTCTTGTTCCTCTGGCTTTTACTGTGTTGGTAATATACATCTGGAAATTAAAAGAAGAAAATACAAAAGACTACAATGAATGATATTTCCTATCAATCTCTGAAAAGACTCTTTAGAATTTGGTGCGCACTGTTTTCCGTACAAAACAAGAAAGTAGAGCTCTCTATTCATTACATTACCCAAGCCTGTGGCACTCTTTTCCTACCCAGAGGTTGGATAAGTACATTTTTCAACTCAGATTTATCATCATTACAGACATTGGAAATCTAAGCAATATAAAACAGGACTCTTAATCTCATTTAAAACTTAAAATCTTAATTTAAAAATTCCACCTTTTTTTTTGTTTTTTTACATTTAGGATGTTTATAATTAATTGCTCATGCTTTTGGGGAGCAAGGGCTTTTTAACACTTGGCACTGGTGCCACGGAAGAATACACCTGTCCTGCAAAGCTCCTGATCCGAGTCAGAACACAGTCTTGTTTTCACAGGCAAGTGTTTGTACCCGCATTTTTTATACAACAGCTTTAAAGGGGAGATTGTCCATCTGTTTTCTGCATAGTCTGACAGTACATGAGAATTTGCCAATAACAGTGAGAATCATACCACCACCACCCAGATCTAATTTTTGGAAATAAAACATATCAATTTCAACATGTCAATTTAAAACATGTCAGTTCTGGGCAGATCCTGTTTCTGTACTTCTCAGATGCCGATGGAGGGCAATTAGTGCCAATTAACCTCATTGTGTGAAGAGGTCTGGAAACAGACATTTATTTAAACAGTTTTGTCAAACTCCACTTAGTCAATAACTTCACCCCTGACCAGCTATGAAAAATCATCACTGTAAACACACTATGCAAGCACAAACGGTGACTTATGACAGTTCACTGCTTTGACACTGGCGGCACACAATTTGCAGTGATGTGGCCACACCAGTAACAACGCTGAAGTATGCAAAGTTTGATAGACCCACACAGAAGTTGACTCATGGCTTAAGGCCGCGTGTTGAAAAGGTCCCTTTTCCAGTCCTTCCAGATACTAAAATCAAGGGCCTAGTGTTACATGAAATTCCTCTGCCTAAACTGGTTTTTGATGGAAAACTAAGATCTCAGTCAAATGCATTTTTTCCTAGGTGATTCCTCCACATGCCAAGGGAGTATTTAATTTCTGCATAAGATTCTGAATTTCTAAAACATAAAAATCTAAAAATGCAAGCTTATATAGCTGGGGACTAATTCTTAGAGGGGGAAAAAAAAGATAAGCCATGTATTTCTACCCCATGCTGCTTTAACATTCAGAACCATCTCCTGGTATTGCCCAAAGAAATACGGCTGCATAGGGAACTATTACTTTATATATCTAAAAATGACAAGTAAACAGACCATTCCACCCTCTGAAAGCTTCTGATTGGTTTATATGGGTAGTATGTCACATAGTACTGCAGAAACCCAATCAGCAAGCAGACCAATGAAGTATTATATAGACTTATAGAAGCAACTGCAAGCCAAACAAAAACTGACTCCTTGTCTTGAATCCTAGCACGAAACCAAGAGCTGGAATATGCTCAGAGAATGCGTGTGTCAAAACCAGCTAATCACAAAGTGCATGTATGTGTTAAGCCACCATATTATAGGTCCATTGACAAAACATGATACATGCCAGTTTTTTTCCTTAGGGTATGGATAGAAGACCCACGATATAGATAAAATATGAATGGCAGAATCAGGGAACTTAAATAATAGTACAGTATTATGGAACTTGCACACATCACATACCTTGCATGATGCTTAAACTTGCACATCACTGGATTTCCAGCATAAATTATGCTGCTAGCTTGCATTAATTGAAAGGATGTGGTGAAGAGCAGACAGCAGAACATAAGAAAAAAAACATTTCAGCCCATATCTGCAACCCATATTGCTCCCTTTTTCACTCTAGCCCATTTAGGAAACAATACATCTTTTCCTTCACTTGCTCTCTTTTTAAGTTTTGGTCACATTTCTCTGGGCTTTTTCTTCTCTGTCCTCCACTCCTATGCAATATTGATAAGACAATATTAATTTCAACTCCCAGCTGTTTTCCAGCTATTTTCTTTTGGTATTGAGCACCCAAGCCCACTTCTCCAGTGACTGTGAGAGCTGAATCACCCAATGACACCTATATTTCAGTGACACTTACTGCACTCCAGAGTATTGGGCATTTTAGTACACTATGAACTTTGTTATCCACACTACATATTATAAACCACAGATTTCCATTATTCCTTGTGTCAGAGAAAAAACTGTGATGTCTTGAATATAGAGAAAGATCACCAGGTTTCAAACGCAGCTTGAATAGGACTGACAAGAGTGGGTTGGCAGCAGGCTACGCTTGTTTTAATTCTACACCATAGGTGTTAAAGCAAAATGACTACTTGTAAGTAAATATCAACTAAATAAAGTACATTTTTCAAAGGCAAGTGACAGTGATGTATATTAATTATCTATAATAGGTACTCATCACTCCAGAAGATAATATTAACTCTTAACAGAAAAGTCAAAACCATTATGGTGCTGAATGGAGCTCATTGCTGTCATTCTGTGAGAGCCATAAGGACTCAGAACTTTGCAGATGTTCACCAGCACTCTGCACTATTCAGACACATTCCTGAAGATCTCATTTCAGGCAAAACATCCACTGAATCAGAAAGTGCTGCAGAATCCAGCCCGACATGTCTAACTCATAAGTTCTGGCATCTGGGCCCAATGAAAACTATGTTTAAGGTGGTAATGGCCCTTCCGTTCTTCAGAGTAGTAGTTTGAGAGTTCTGCTAATACAGTTACCAGTTTTATCATAACACAGCCACAATCGATTGTACAAATAATAATGAATCAGTGTAAGCACGGCAGTATCTTTAGTTCAAACAGTATCCTGTCTGAACTCTTCGCATTTGCGATCTTCTCTATGTCTGTTTCAAACCAGAGAACACATATATTTCTAAGACTGGTTACCTGCAGTTTTGGTGGTACATTCATCTTAGTCAAAGATTAGGTTTGTGCCAAGGAATAAAGTGTAATTAAGCAATTGTTTTGTTCGTGCTCTTGAAGCAAAGTGCTGGAAAAGCAGGATAAACAAACGTGTGATAAAAGAATAAAGATATTACAAAGATGACTGAGTTTTTGCTATTCTTGATAAATATTAAATGCATTCCCGGCAAAGGATCAGTGACTTAAAATTGGGTTCTCCTCAGCGAGAATGAATGATACGATAAACTGTAAGATGAATAATGATAGCTACTGAACAATTCTATTTTAGTTTTTTCCAGGGACAAAAATGCAGGGAAATTCTAAAATAGCCTTGTAAAGCAATAAACTCAGCAGAAGGACCAATAAACAAATAAGATCATGGGTATAATGCCAAGAATAACTGATAGGGGTTGATCCATTAGAGAATTCTCACAGATAGCATTTTGCATTCAATTCACGGGTAGTATTTCTTTCACCACACAAGATCATTGTTAAATCATGACTCAGGATACTCTTGCTATTGCTAATCTAAATTTAGGTCTATGCATGCAGAGATCAGAAGACACTATAGACAGGCGAGCACAAGCAGTAAGGGTGCAATATGGAAGTAAGTGTCATGTAGTGTAGTGCTTTTATACGCAACATTTACTATTCAGCAAAAAATGAATAAAATATAAAAATGAAATAAATACCTTGAACAAAGCATTTCTGAAAAATGTTTGTCAGTTCATTTTCTTTTGATTGTGACGAATACAAATACTAGCATCTTAAGCAACATTGGAGGTACAGTATTACTTTTGATATCTATACATTCAGAGCCTATCAATATTGATGATCTCTCTCCAGAATAAAATAATAATAATAATTTTCTTTCCATAGATCAGATTTTAAAGGCATTTAAGTGACTAACGATACACTATATTTTCTTGACAATCTTATTTACTATTCTCATCTTATATAAATGCAGTGTTAAGTATTCTAACAAGCAATAAACCTACCTCCTAAAAACTCATTCTCTAATCAAATTTTGCTTAATGTCTTTTTCTTTAAGAAAAAACAGCTGTGTATATCCATTTATATTTTTTAGACATTACATGTATTATACACTTGATAGCAAGGTCAAAAGTCAGACTTCATTCTAACAGCCATATAACAATACAGCAATTTATTGTTATTTCCACTAGAGGTCAAAATCATCACCACCACCACCATAAGGTATACAAATAAACTGGATCCTCAGACAGGAATCTCGAAAGATTATAAGCAGGAGAAAAATAAATGTTCATGTTAAAATCTTAACAGGAAAGCACCCAGCAGAGGATATTATGCTGCAGAAAATGTAAAATATTGGTTTTACAAAGTTCAACACACACCTTAGACACTAAATGCAACAATTCAGAAATAAGCAGTCATGTGCCAAATGCAGACCAAATGATTTGCAGGATTCTAGCAAGAGTTATCTCTAAGCTTTTTCTTTCAACAAATCTTCAACCCATCTTTCCACTTTCCCTTTCCTTATTCTCTTACATATGCATATACCCAGAGTCATACATACAGAGTGGCTCAAAACATCCCATGTTTAACTAGGGAGTGGTTATCACAATTCCAGTTGCGTAAGACCAAGTCAGGGTGCTCACTCACAGAGCAACTAAGCAGAACACCATTACATTCTTGACCAGCCAGCTCTGAACTGTGGCTAAGCATTCATTCAGCCAGAAAACTGTACTGTGGCTTGCTACTTCACCTTATTGTTGAAGCAGGTGGATAGGAATAATAGACTGCAAGGACAGGATAGAGCAGCAGCAAATTACTACTCTCACAGAAGGGGTGCAGAAAGAATAAATCCCTCCTTGGAAAAGCACAAACTAGCCATTTTTAAGCATTACGTAGTTAGAGAACTGCTAAACTATACAGATAAAGGTGATCATATGTGCTCCATCTGTAGGGCATGTAGCCCCATCAATTGTTCATGCATCCAAGGATCACAACATTTAAATAAATGACAAAATAAACAAAAGAAATGCAAGATATGTT